CAGGCAAATACTCAAGAGCGAGAACCGGATGTAAACGGGACAAAGCCCCGTCACAAAATGACCATTATCTTTCTTTACAAATGTTCCCAACACACGTGTTCCGGTCAAAAAATAAAATAATATTTAAAGTGCTCTATTTTTCGTCCAATAAAAATGCTTCCCTCTTAATTATACTCGCTTCATTTTTTGAGCTTGTTAAGCCATAAAAAAACGATATAAAAGGGGTCACACGGAAGTTCAACAGGCAGTCAACAGGTGCCCAGAGTAGAGACCTGTTACGGTCAGCTACTGACAGCAGGGGAGTGTCAACCACTGTCAACATGTGTGAACTACTATGAGAGATCGACCTAGATCCGAAAGCCGGCTTATGAACTTTACCACAAGGTAGCTGTCCCAAACACACACGTTCCTGTTGAAATAAACCACGTAAATCTATTTTTACTGTTGTCATATTTCTTTCTTGCAACCATACGCTTGTCTATAACAACTTCTTCCAGTTCCCTGAGTGCAGTATTTTACAGTTTTTTAAAGTTTTTTTTTCCTCCAACAGGAATCAAACCTGTATTCTAAACAGAATAATCATATTGCCTGACGTTCTATACCATTTAGCTACAGAGGAAGCATCTGCTTAGCAAGGTTAAATTACTGTTTTTAAACTATAAATTTCCAATCCTAATTCCTGTTGGAGGACACATATTTTTTATGAGATTTCTTGGACATTCAGGCCAGCAAATGTTGTTAATACTGTTTATTATGAACAGAATATTTACTTAAATATTTGTATCTATAAAAGTAACATATAAAGAGAAAATTTATTGATATAATTGTCAGACTTAGTCCATTTCATAATATATATATATATATATATATCGGTACCTCTAAAGATTTGATAAAAAATGAGCATACATCATTAAAAAGTGCCCAAAATTTAATAAAAACAAAGTTTTATCATCAAAATCTTTGTGTTATTATTAAAAGGAAAAAAAAACCCAGAATTTTTTTGTTTAAAAATTATTTTTTAAAATCCTTTATAGAACTTTTTCAATTTTAGTTTAAAAACTTGTTTTACTGGCATCAACATGGGCCCATAAATTTGTATGGAAAACTTGAATGTCTTTTTGAGGTGAAAAACACATTGATCTGGAAATTTTGAAAAAATCAGATAAATGTCAAATTTTGAAGAAAATTTTAGGATATATTCACCAATGAATGAAATTATATTTTTTTTAAATGTTTACTTTTTAGAAAATTTTGATAAAAATATTTTTTTAGATTTGTTACTCAACACTTATTTAAGTTATGACATTTCAAGAAATTCTTTTTTGTAGTGATGAATGTTTATATTAGTTATAAGGAGAAGTTCGAGGAAAATTTGAATCATCAAACTTTTTGTCAAACAGGATCCCCATTTACAGAAAATCTGCTATGAATTGTAAAATAAAAATGCAATAAATTAAGACATTATTTAATTAGAAAATCTTATAATTGTTTTTTTGAATAAAAAATATGATGGATATATGATGGATACTATTGTCTAAAGAAAAAAATCTTTTTGCAGTGAATAATGAATTGTAAAAGATTTTTTTCATTTTTTTATTTTAAGTAGAATAATTTATAAACTTTTAAAATTTTGTATTAATTTGTAGCAGTTGTTATATTGTTATTAGATATAAACTATATTTACTAATTATAAATAGAATAGCTAACTACAATTCAATGACCCTCAGTATTTAAAAAAAAATTTGGGTGAGTGTATAAATGTGCCAATTTTTGTAAATACACATGTGAATATACAACATTACCAGAAAATAAAAGTGGTTACACTACCGAATTTAAAATTTATTGGTAATTTTCTAAAATTTTCTCAACAAGCATGTTTGTAAGTAAGACTATAAATCCAAATAAAAATTCAATAGAATTTTAGAATTATTAACAAATTTTTAAAGATTACTGGGTAGTTAAAAAATATCTAAAAAGGGGTTTAAGTTACAATTTTATTACAGTTATTTTCCTCTTACATAAATCTTAAATAATAAAATATAATAAAATACTATTGCTTCAACTACTAATATTGATAATAATGTTCTCTTTTGATATGCATAAATTTATGTAACTCAACATATTTCAAAGCAAACAGGATTTCTGCCAATAATCTGTTCAATAGTTATCTAGAGCAAGAATTATTACCTCAGAAATGATATTATGGACACCCATAGAGAAAAAGAGGAGGTAGTTTTATCTCAGTCCCAAGTGTTACTGTTTGATAGACTAGCAAATGGTTTCTTTTGAAGTTTGGTCTTCTAAGCAGCATCTACTTTCACCGAGGGGAAATAGAAGCAAAGTAGCAGTTGGGGGTTTTTAGAGATCAAGTGGCAACAAAACTGGAAATAGGGTATCTCCAGATGCTGGTCTATATTAACTGTCATTATCTGTCTATATTTGTGAGATGAGGTATTATGTACACTATTTAAATTATGCAAACTATTGTCCTCATCTTTATTGTCATATTTATTACAACGTTTCGGCCATTGTACACTTCGGCCTTCTTCAAGGACACATGGCACAGTGGATAAAAGGCATTGGTTAGATCCAGTGACAGGACCCAAAGAGTATGAGTTCAATACCCAATTAAGGCAGTGGAGAACTAGGAGAAGGGAATTAACAGGAGATAACTGACATCCATTAAAACATGGCACGTGGAACTAGAACAGTCTACTCCAGTGAGCAAAATAAAGGGTTCAGTTCAACATTCCAACCACCTGAAGAAGGCCGGAGTTTACAATGACCGGAGATGGATTTGTCTATCGTGTGGTTCCTGTGCCAGCCATTCTTATTTCTGCCATTACATTAGGATAAGTAGATTAGTGAAAAGTTTGTAGGAGGAAGAGCTGAGCTGTTCGATCAACAAAGCCAAAATTGTACCAAATATCAGCTACCTACCCATCCAGATGAGCAGGTGAAGTCCTGAATAAAACATCTACTTTGTAATATGGGAAACAGGTTTTGTATTTTTATTCCTTGATGTGGCAATTAATTGTCTTTCATTGTGTTACCATGTGAACAGCAGCAAATGCCAAGCTTTTAGTGCACAGCAATAAGATCAAGAATAAAAGTGTAATGTCGAGTAATTATTGGTTGGTTGGTGAAAAGCTAGAACATTGATTATGTATGTTTTCAATTTAAGTTCATGATACTTACTGGAGCTCAGCTCAGAGTTTTGTGATTTCTCACTCATCAAACAAGAATGATTTTATTAATTACTTGGAACTGCCAGGTAAACAAGACTTATTTAGAGAGGAAATTAGAATAATTCAGAACCTATATTGTATACCAATAGAAAATCAGTTCAATAAATAAAAATAAAAATAGAAAGGCATATAAGACAAGGATGTGTCTTCTCACCAGACTTATACAGTATCCTATACTGTGAGGTGATTCTGAGAGAATTATAAATCTTATCAGGATTCATTATTAATGGCCACAATCATAACAACATAAGATATGCATATGACACAGTGTTGATAGCTGACTGAGAAAGGTAACTACAAGAACTCTGACAAAAGGTAGTGAAGGAAAGCAAGAAGAAAGGACTCAATTGCAAAAAGACAGAGTACATGGTTATTAGCAAAAGGATGAACCCAGAGAGTGAATTGCAAATCCGAGATAGCAAAATCAAACAAATACGGGAATCTAAATATCTGGGAAGTGTTTTAACAGTGTACAGAATGTGTGATACTGAAAATCACATTGGAATAGTGAAAGATGCTTTCCAAAATCTAAGCAGAGTATTAAGAAATAGAAAAAAATTGTTAGAAACAAAGAAAGGAGTAGAAAATGTTACATAATATCAGTCGTCCTACATGGCAATGAATGCTGGACAATCTCCTTGTTGTTGAAAAGGAGACATGAAGCAAAAAAAATGTGGTTCTACAGAAGGATGCTGAGAATAGCATGGACTGAACATGTGAGCAACAACAAAGTTTTGGAGAAAATGGAAACAAAAATTTATTTATACTTAACATCAGGAAGAGACAGGTGAAGTTTCCAGGGCACATAATCAAGAAAGAAGGCTTGGAAAATCTAATACACACAGGACAGTTTGAAGGTAAAATTTATTAAGAGCTACAAAGGACAGGAACTAGAGGAGAGCCATGTTTCTCAGTCAACTTTGATCTTTGATATAATGGAATGTGCATATACCTGTGTTCCCCCTCACTGGAATATGATTGGCTGGTGTTGGTCATAATTGCCGACAGACGTGTAGGAGAGTCAGAGCCTTAGTCTGAGAGCTAAGTCTATAATAATGCCCATTGGACTATGCCATTGATCTACACTTCTTACCTGTGACTACGACGCATACCAGTCGATTACTGCTACCGTATTCTACTTGGTTATAGTTGCCAAAACCACTTAGCTACTTTGTTAAAATATATACTTTTCCAGGACATATCAAGCTTCAAAAATGTAAGTGAAATATTAATCATTATTGCTTTGTCTTCTTAATTCTTGTTCTTTTATTGTCTTCTTTCCTTAATAGTAATTTTTTTTTTATTCTCTAACACTCAGTGACCCCCCTTGCATCTTAGTGGCTTTATTGCCTTGCTGGGAATGAAATGAAAAAAAAAATTATCATTACCATTCCTGAAAATTTGTATTTTGCCATGAAATTAATACCAAAACTATCAGCCTTTTTTCATTTCTGGATTTCATTTTTTTTTATTTCCTTCTTTAATATTGGGTTTTGGTCAAGAAAATGTTGCCTTTATACAAAAGTGTGAAGCGATTAATTGCCTCACGGTGTTCCAGATTTGAGAGCATTTCAATAAATACATCAATTTAGTTCAACTGATTTCTGTTTACTTTTAATTAATGATTTTTAATTAAGGATTAAAGATTAATGATATAATTAGAACAACAAAAGCCAATTAAACACTAATTTGTGAATGCAACACAGATTGAACGTTCTCTATTTCGATTCAAATTTTATACATTATAATGCTTATGGCCAAACCATGTTTAAACATTGGTTCTCATTCAAACACCAAAGTTAAGCCTCATTGAGCCTGGTCAGTACCTAGATGGGTGATAACTTGAGAATACCAGTGCTGTAATCTTGGATGTGCTGGTGGTGTAATGTATAACAGCTTGAAATTAGAAATTGGAGAGCTGAGTTCCAATTCTGGTTGGGTTCATTATAGTCATTTACATGCAAATACCATTGGGAAAGGTATGACTCCAATCCTTCTCCCCCCAGCTATGGGTTAATTAGTAGGACTTGTATCAGTAAGTCATTATTTTCAAAAAATTCTTACATTTTAAAATTATTTTCTGGCTTTAAATAACTTTTATAAAAGGTTGGTAAACCATAAGAAACAAATCAGTCCATTTTATCAATTAAAATATTGCAAACTAATATGACATGTAAAATTTATGCATGTGTATACAGTGGTCTAGTTTATTTCGTAAACTTGGCTTATGAAATAAACATGATGAGATGATCTCTGAGAGAGGGGAAATAAATGAAATAAATTGTGCTTCACCAACATGCAAAGTGAAATTAGCCTTGAATATCTGGGTTTTAGCATGGATGTAAAAAGTAAGCTAAGATAATAGTGGGAAATATATTAACCATGAGTAAGAACATCTTTTTATTTCACTTGTCAAACTGTATTATACCAATTGGCTTGAAGTTGTCTTTGTTTACCTCAAGAAAAGATTATTTATTTCTTGCAATTGGATATTGTAAATATCAGTAAATATAAAGTACTCACTATTCGCTTCAACATTTATCTGTTGATTCACTTTTTTCTATTGGCAGAACAAAATTCGTGTAGAAAATTCAGAGAGAGTCTATCTACTAAAAGTGCAACCATACTATGATTTTGGCACTTCTTATAAACTTTATGTATTTTGTTTTTAATTACTATATTTCATTGGTTATAGTATGAGTTGATAATACTTAATTAAAGTGAGTGTGTAACAAATTCACTTGCTGAGGTGTAAAATATCCAACTTAGAATTGTTACTGTTCAGATATCAAATGAAGGTATTATAAACATTATAAAGTATTATAAACTAATGAAGTTATTATACACAATATAAAGTATTATAAACAAATGAACATACTATGCACATTATAAAGTATACACAAATGAAGGTATTATACATATTTTAAAGTATTATATGCAAATGAAGTTATCATACACATAAAGTATTGTGACATCCCTCGATGTCGCTGTGCCAATCGTGACATCTGCCTGTCGCACCCGCCGTGCTGTCCTAGTCGCAGCGCCAATTGTGACGTCACCCCGTCTGTCTCCGTGCCGTCGCCATCCTATCCTGTCCCGTGACAACTAATGTGACTTGGTATTGGTCGCGGCACCAAATGTGACGTTCTAACCTTTTGCTGATTCGGATGGGAATCTGGTTAGATTCGGCATCAGCCTTGTCATTCCCAGCTCACCTCCAACGTCTGGTTACCAAAGTAATTGCTTTGATTTCTAGTCTAACCTACCCACGTTGTGATTTGATCTTAGGTAGATGAAATCAATCAGTCGCCAAGCCGTAATGCAAGCCGAGTCCGTACAAGGGTAACACCACACAAGTATATGTAAAAGAAATTAAAGTAACAGTAAAAAGGATAACAATATTTTATATCTGGTTGCTGAATACAGGACTGCGTCTTTCTCCCAAACCGCTACTATGGATTTGTGACACTTTGTGTTTGTTAGGCGAGTCTTAACATCTTAATTTGTTCTTTTAAGAAACTGGTTTTGGTGTATCTTCAGGCGATATTCATAAAACTTGTTTTGGTGGTGTGAGTCTAAGTCATTCTTCAAATATAAATTGTTCTTGGTTAGAAGTTGAGTTCGGAATTGCGTGGAATCATTCAGTCAGCTTTTTGCGAGGCGGGCACAACTCAATTCAACTCAGCTGCGAACTCCTTAATTCAACTGCGAACTGCAAACTTAACTCAACTGTTGCAACTCATTGCGACTCTGCTTATATGGACGCCGACCAAAACCGGGGTGGGCTTGTCAGGGTTTGAGGTTCCTTGATAATTCTAAATCCACAATCCACTTCTTTGTTTTCGATCAGGAAAATTTTTTTATTTTCCATTTTTGGAAGTCCTTCCAGATTCTTCCTTTTTCATATGGGTATCTCACCCAATCACTTCAGGGGGCGTCAACAGGCCTTCCCTCCTTCGACACATGATTACCTTCGACTAACGCTCACACCACCATTCAGCCAATGGGCACTCAGCGGCGTGGGTGTGGCTAGACAAGCCTCGGTTAAAAAAATCTTGCTCAAAGAAAAAAAAATATCTTCCTTTTTCTTTTTCTTTTTTTTTCTTTTTCTTTTCTTTCTTTTTCTTCTTCTCGACAACAACCCAATATGACTCGCAGTGTGGTCTCCTAATCTCAATTTTATCCTGAATGTCACCTGGGATTCATCACTCGGGACCCTCGCCAAACAAGTTGGTGGTCAATTGGACGTATTGCGCTACAGCCAATTATTCGTTTCGATAAAATAATTTTCTTATTATAGCCAGCTCCTGACACAAAACAGGTGCCTTTTCCAAACGACATCTCCGTAGATAGCTAATGGGTCAATCTTTTCTTCCTGGTGGTCCAGCGGACATTTTTCCTGCGACCCAGTGCATGACCTAATTAATATTATCTCTCAGTTTCTGTTTCGTAGGCTACCTGACCGACCTAAAACCTTCACCATTGCCATGGGCAGATTGGCTATATCTTATTCGGTGTGTTGTCATAAATTAAATTAAATCCGACACATCCACAACCTTACTTTCCTCACTAATGAGAATAAAATCTTTAGCACTTTTCTTTGTTAGAAAAAAAAATAACATCGTCTTTTCGTGATAGATTCTTATCACCTAATTTTAATTCTCACCTTTTTTCTTTTTTTTTCATGCAACCCTAAATAGTGTCACAGTATTATATGCAAATGAATGTATTATACACATTTTAAAGTATTGTACGCAAATGAAGGTATTATACACATTTTAAAGTATTATATGCAAATGAAGTTATTATACACATTATAAAGTATTATATGCAAATGAAGGTATTGTACACATTTTAAAGTATTATACAAAAATGAAGGTATTATACACCTTTTAAAGTATTATACACAAGTGAAGGTATTATACACATAAAGTATTATAAACAAATGAAGTTATACACATTATAAATTATTATAAACAAATGAAGATATTATACACATTATAAAGTATTATACACTTTATAATGTGTATAATACCTTTATTCATATTATATGTAAATGAAAGTATTATGCACATTAATACAAAAATTTTGGCAAATACCTCAATTATTCCCCATTTCTCTGTAGTTCTGATTAATTTTAATGCTGTTATATTTGTGTTTCTACCTCTACATTTACAACCAGCCATTACCTCATAAATAATGGACTATTCCATTTTGATCAATCTCTTTGATTCATGGTTAGCAAAGGCTAGTCATTAATACTAAATAACGATTGTGATTGTTCAAATCCTAGTTGAGTTCATTACGTTCACTTATGTGCAAATACCCTTGGAAAAGATATCCATCTCCCCACCAAAAATTCGGTGGTTTGGTGGGGGGCATGAACTGACCGTTAATTTTATTCAATGTTGTTCTGTATTTATATTGAGATTTACCTCTTGACTTTTGCTTACCAGTGACCTCGCCGATTGAATAATATCTGAACATGACGATGAGCTAAATAATTTGAACTCAGACTGAATTGTTTGAATTGAATAAAATCTTTATTGATTTTTATAGTCGTTGTTTCATTACAATTTAGTTAAGATTCAATGTGGAGACTTAAATAACTTTCAGTCTCTTTATATTTTATTATTATGATTTTTATTTCATAGTTGATGTTTTATTAGATTATTTTATCACTGTCCATAAAATCATGATAATACTACTGCAACTAATAGTGAATGTCGAAACAATCAAAAATATATAATCTTGAGCAATCAGGAAAAATGGCGGATAAATCATCCTGGCTAGATTTAATCTTCTGCCATTTGTATAAATCATTTAGCTAAATTGTCAGAGTAGTATGTATGGTTATCGTGGCTTTCTGAGGCTAAAGAATAACACTTTCGGTACCTTTGGGAGTTTAACCATTGTTTCAAATCCTAACTGTTTATTGATGGCTGTAAACTAACACTCAATAGTTGCAAAGAAAACATTTAAAAGGAAAATTAAAGAAATACTAGCTACAAATGAATAATGGCTGACAATGTGTTATCTCATAAAAGTGGCTAAAATCAAAATGAAAAATTACTAATCAAAAATTAAAAATTGATAATTCTACTAAAAAATTAATAATGGTTGACAATGTTTCATCTATTAAAAGCAACTATAATTCAGATGAAATACTAATCAAAACTTAATAATAGCTGATAGTATTTAAACAATAAAACTAACTATAATTAAGATGCAAAATATTAGCCAAATATTACTAATAGCTGATGTTAAACACATAAAATCAACTATAAGCATCAGTTCTCAACTTGCTATGTATACTAATGATACAACTATTTACTCCTGTCTTAATAGTAACGCTGATCAGTTTGATATGGTCAAATTGGCAGCTGATATCATAAATGACCTGCAATCTGCTGTTAACAGGGGCAAGGAATGGCTTCTTAATTTGAATACCTCCAAAACAAAAGTTATTTATCACTCATCTGAGAGATCACTTCCTGCCTTCCTTCAGTATGGCTGATGCTAACCTTCAGAAGAATGACTCATTGCACCTTCTCAGGCTAACATTTTCCAATAACATGAAGTGAAAAGATTATATTGAATCAACTGTTAGTTCACTGTGTCATGCTTGACATTTTTTCTTGCCAGATTCTATCTTTAAGTCTACTATTCATTCATGCTTTGAATATTGCTGTTACTTTATGGTCTGGTGCCCTTGCTATATATTTAGAGATTCTTTATAAAAACCAAAGAAGAATCTGCACTGTTATAGAACCTGATCTGGCATTTCAGCTTCAGCCACTTTCCCGCTGCCAAAATATAGCTTCACTGTGACTTTTCTATAAATACTTTCATGGTAATTGTTCC